TAGCACCCAGCTAAGATAGTGTATCCGAAATTAATTTCTTCAGTTACACAATCAAAACTTTCCGCTGGGTATTCAGAGGCCATTCACAGAGCCGTCAGAATGGTCAAGTCAGCTCTGAGAAAAACAATATTAATCTCAAAAATTGTTTCTCCGGCACATGACTTTATCCGGGCCAAACTCAATCAATCTGGAGATGCAGCAGAAGTCATCGTCTCCTCGCACGATCGACTGAAGCCAGAGAAGAGGGGGGTAACGTGAGCCTCGCAAAACACCGGAGTTCACGTCGTCAAAGAATAACATTTGCACGAACCTGAAGAAGCTTTCAGCGCAGTCCGAAAGATATCCAATTTCAGCTTTTGTCACTGAATGACACCTCTTTTTTTTTTTTATTTTTTTTTTTAATCATCGCTGTCCAGTCTCGGGGCCCAAAAGACAGAATTAATTTCAGTCCCGATTTTTTTGTATCTTGCATTTTACGAGTCCCTGGTCCGTTGTAGTCGGAAATGTTGACGAATCTGACATTGACATATGGAGCGTGTGCGTGCATGCGTGCATCCGCGGCCGGCTCAAAATGGAATTTGTATCAATTTGAATACAGTATTGCAATGGCGCCCTAGCTGACAAATGTCACATCAAATATTGGGACATCACACGCTCCGCTTGGTCTTTTCAGCAGGATAGAAAAAAAAGTTTTCGACCTCTTTTTTTTCTTCTGGCGATATTGCCTGTGCCTGATGTTATTGAGCTGCTAAAGCAGAAATGTATCTTTTTGTATTGCATGGAGCTCGTAAGCAGTTAAGCAGTAAACAGCGCTTAGCAAGTTTCTGCACTAAGCATTAATGAGATGGAACCAGTCACAGCAATGAGCATCATATGATATTTTGGCTGGTAATCTGTTTTTACTAAGCAGATGTTCTGTGCTTTAATAGCAGATGTCTGACTAGTGAGGTGTTCTGCTGTGAGGAGTTTGATCTTAGCCACTCCCACTTTAACTAACCCCACCCCTTCTTGTCCTTATTACCCCCCCCCCCCCCCATGTATATATAACCACTGTGCTCATAAATTTGTAAATCTCAATATAAGATTTTAAAAAGAAGTCTTTAAAACACAGTTTGTCTTTATGTTTACCCCCTTTTCTATTTCTTCAATTTCTTGTGCCTGGAAAAATTCCCTTTCTGCATTTAAAGATTTAGGAAGCTAGCAAAATATTTTTTTTTAATTGTGTGGATTATCTTTATAAAAAGTCAACTGTTTGTGTGGAAATATCTTCCAGAGTTTCAACTCACTGCGCCTAGTGACCATGACGCTCTGGCTTGAAACTTTTCATTTTCCTCACGTCCCATCGTCGCTCTCTCGCGAAGTCTTGCAGCATCAAGTGTCTTTTGTATCCTGCCAGTCCCGCTGTGTATCCACCGAGCTATTGGGTTTCACGATATTACACTTCCTTTGATGCCCCACGGTATTGTATCATGTAAATGTGCATTAAAACTGTAATCAAACCGTGTAGCGAGAACAGAAAAAAACAGGACCAGGGGCAAAATTTGCCAAAGAAGAGTAGGCCGAAGCCTGATATTCAGGGGCGTATGTTGGTTATCGGATCACACAAAATAAGTCAAGAGTTAATATCTAAGTTGTTATTTTATATGGACTATAAACATAGTGGGGTTGTGTCCCATTATCTTGTTTTATATTTTGTCTGAATCTAGCTCGAAGCGACACTGTTTGAAATCATTCCAGTGTAACCCATTACTTAACGCTAACTGGGATTGCGAAAAAATTGTGTTGACCTATTTGGTGAGGTCATTAACAGAAATTAAGTGCATTGTTTTGTAAAAATCATAACATTGAAAGCATTTCAATTCAGTTTTCAAACTGTTGCTACAAATTGTCAAAAAAAAATTGTAAAGGAGTAAAATGAAAGTCATTTTTTGCTTGTTCCGTGAAATTCAGTCACACATCATGTTAAGTTTGAGTTTGTGTTGTCATCGCCTTCAAATGTCATGGGTGTTTTATATGCTTCTCACAATACTGCAATCGCACCTTGGGACATGATTTCAAGCGAAATTGAGGATCCGCCGATCCAGAACTTTCATTTCCGATAAAAACTCTGCACAAAGCACAATGACGGCCGCCTGAACTGAGCAACAATCTTCCGGAGATTTCCCACAAGGTTCTGTCAATATTCAAAGCACAATGACATCCATACCCTCTGTCCCTGCAAGACGTTCATCAAGCAAAGAAGGAATAAAATTCCGTACCCCGTAGCTCCACTCACAAGTAATCACCAACGGATGAAATTTTTCTGACTTGTGAAGGGATTTTGATTTTTTTTTTTTTTTTTTGTGCACTCGTCCCGAGCCCCGATATTAGAGGCGCAGTGATGTAAACACAGTTTGGCAGGGACGGATTGGCCGACAGCAATCGCAGGACATGACTCCGACACAAACTGGGTGATTATATGGTTGCCAACTGCAGACCAACACGCTTCCTTTCATCGAAATCAATGAACGTGGACCGAAGCAACTGGTTATTTTTCAAGAGTGACGGCAGTCGGTCTCACTTTGCAATGCAATTGAGACGTTCATGTTCTGAGACAAATGTTGACTTGTCGATTTCTGTTTTGTTACTTTGTATTATTCTTGCAAATCGTCTTCCACAGAAGAGAAAGTCTACCTTTTACAGAGTTCTAACCCAGTCATTTTTTTTCACAAGGCAAGTCGCAAGTCAATTTTTCCCGAGTCAAGTCCCATGTCATGTTTTTTTTTTTCAAGTCAAGTGCCAAGTCTCAAGTCAATTTGTTCAAGTCCGTCTGAACATGCCAAATCATAATTCACATGACAGATGCACCCTTTCTCTGATATCCTTTACTGACGATACAAGTCTTCAGTTTGTAATAATATGAATACAAGTTAGGAATTGTGCCCAACTAATGCCTGGCTCGCTACATGTACATCAGGTCCTTGGCTTTCTTTTAACCGAATTTTGCATAAATTAAAGTTGTGTATATTTTAACAAAAGCGTTAATGTCAGCATTCAGCAAGTCAAATTTCTTCAAGTGATGTCAAGTCGCAAGTAAATATTTTTCCAAGTCAAGTCAAATCTCAAGTAAAAAAAATAAATAGTGACTCGAGTTTGAGTCATCGACTCGAGTCAGCAACACTGACTTTTTATCAGCGCTTTTTGTGACATTTTGTTTCCCAAGCAACTGGAATTCATGAACAAAATTGTCAGTATCCACCCAAAAATAACTGAGAGGGAAGTCTTGAAATTATTGAATTGACTTTGCAACCAAACTGTTGACTTTTACACCATGTTATTTTCTTCAACATTAATGTAACTGTGTATTTAACTTTGACTATCAAAGCCAGAGTCCATCATTTCCAGCAATCCCAAAAGTAACTGGCGTAATTATTGTTGAAAAACAAATTTGGTTGAAAGGTAGTAAGGGGACTAAACTCCCTGTGAAATTATTCTTTCTGGCAAGCTGTCATTTGAAGAAATCAACAAAAGAAGGCCTTTCCAATGGTGCATCTTAAGCACTGTTGGAAATTTCCGTTAGTAGTTCGGTTTTTTTATTCGGCGAAGCGCGCACAAGCGTTGACACGATGCACGCGCGCGCGCAGTTGCTGTAATTCGTCGGATCGGTGCGCGACATCGCGTAGCTGCCATCGGCTCAGTGAGAACGTGTCTCGGACGCTGAATTCAGGCCCAATTCAAAACATATGATTCAGCAACTTTTGATTTGAAATTGAGATCCTAGAATGCTGTTTTGCTCGAAATATACAGCTAAAGCTGAGCTGAAACTTCATCAGGTTAATTGTTCAGCACCCTTCTTTAGATTTTGAGCACTTTTGTTGCTTCAAACGAACAAAATGCACAAATAACAAATGATGGACTATACCTTTAAGAAGTACATTGATTTTAAAACGCATGCATATATAGGTAGTCTCACTCCAAGACGTCCTTAGCGGCGTGATATTTCAGCACGCATGCGTGTTATTGGACTGAGCAGCAATTCACCGAAACGGGTGCCCTTAACACATGCACCAACAATCCGCTTTACGTGCGGTTGGTCTACTGAGTCAGGTTCGTGAATGGGACCATGAATGCTAGCTGCTGCGCGGTGCAAAGGCTGTACCATCTATCGTGAGCTACGTACACCGCTAAGAACTTCTTGAACCAAGACTAACATATAGGCTACAGCTGCCGACATTTTGAACTAATATATTGACTAACATATGCATGAGTCAATCCGGAAATAGATACAGAAAAACGAAAATCCATAAGAAGTAAATTTTGTCAGGAAAATTAACCCTCTCCACTTGAAGTAGCCACACGGTTATTCATAACCTTCTATGCAAGCATACATTCTGTGCCAATTAGTTGTCCTTTCAGTCGAAATCAATCAAGTGACTGGTTTCAACAGTTACGAGCTCCCAACCTACATAAAGCAGGATTGACTGGCTGTGACTGTTTATGTACATGTAACTTGATCCAGCTATGCTTTGACTGTAGGTGATTGATAAGCCAGCTCTGTCTACCACTTGTCTGCTTTTGTCTGTTGACTGCATTTGACTAGTCACAGTGCTTGCTTGAAATATGATCCGACTGTTAATGACTAGCCTGTGTAAAAGGCATGGCAGGGAAAGAAGATGGATTTTTTGACTGTCTGTGACTGTTCAGACAGCAGGAGGGTTAAAGAGTGAAAATTTAGTGTCATCGACAGAAACTAGAGACAAGACATTCAAAGTTAGATATATTCAATTTAATCGAATGATATTTTAATAAACTCTTTCAATCCAGCAGAGTAAATCTTTGCTCTAAATCGTCTCGTCTTTACTTTCAGTTCATGTCGGTGAAGAGTGCAGTTATGCTCTTTGAAATTACTAGACTGTATTTTACTAAGAGAGGGTCACATTTTATGCGGCATAAAAAGACTGGGCATCGGCTGATCGATTTTTCTTTCTTTCTTTCTGTCTGTTTTTTTTTTTATCTCCCAGATTTGTGCCGGGCGGATCTTTCAGCATGCAGGCCTTCCGCGTCGACCTGGAAGCCTTTGATGCCTGTGACTCATCTCACGGACAAGCCGTCTCAGACCGGCCGTCCACCGCGCCGTTCGTCGTAGAGGAACGATATCTCGCCTTGGGCAGTAATCTCTTCATAGGTGAGCTGGCCATGTGCTTCTACACCATTATTTATTTTTTTCTTCAAACCATTTTTTCCCTGTATTTTAATCTGTCGTTCACCAACCTAGTTTTAAAAGGTCATTGTTTATTGTGCACTTAAGATTAACGGATTGATTGTGAATTGCCCATTAATAATTAGGTCTGAGTTTGTAGTTTTGAATAAAACTAATATAATTTATTTTAACTTGATGATTTCATTTTCAATAACTTTATATTTTGTTCTGTTGTGTGCTTCATGTTTGTACACTCAACAAAACAAATATCGAACTAGGCCAATTTAATAACTTTTTTTGACCGGTATTTGGAGATTGAGAAACAGCAGTTTTGAATTATGCTTATTTTTAAACCGGTTGAATTAATTCAATTATTTGTTTATCAGTGATCAAAGTAATTCCTACAGCATTTATCCACATCAAGATTCAGCAATTTTTAGATCTACAATCTGCATTTTTTTTTAAAACTAAAATGCAAAGTGTCTTTTTGTTTCCTTAAAAAAAAATCAAAGAAATCAAATGTTACTTCAGGAATCAGATGCAATCCTGGGACTTTTTATTAGCCACACAAAATGTACACAATCACAACAGAATTCTCTCCGGTGAAAGCATGGGCGTCGCCAGGATTTTTTTCTAGAGTGGGGCAAAACATATTTTTACCCAGAAAAAAACTGTATTTCTCAACATTTTCTGGAATTATCAGTTTTAGGGGGGCAGGGACATTTTGCCCCCCCCCCCATTAAATTTACACCACTATGACTTCGCGCCTCTTTTTCTTTTCTTTTTTTCTCTTTTTTTCGTCCTTTGTTTTTGTTTTTTTGTTGCTTTTCCGGGGGGGGGGGGGGGGGGGGGGGCAAGCGCCTCCTTGCCCTCCCCCTTGCGACGCCCATGGGTGTAAGAAATTAATTCCTGAATTGAATCTGCCGTTGAAATGTCCAAAAAAATCAGAACTTTCCCCAAAAATGGCTGATCAAATTAGCGCTTCCTTTCAAATGTGTTGCCTATAAGTCTGCTGTAATTGAAAGGCATGCACCTACAAGAAATAAAACAATAAAACCCTGGCAGTACCAAGTTCCCTACTCCACAACTGCATTCCTACAAATAAATCCTCCCAGGAGATTCTTTGGAGGACATGTCTGTGCAAATATCAAGGGAGAAAAAAAAGAGAAAAAGTACAAATATTGAATTTCATCGGAAGCAGGATTTGGTATTTGCCAGGTAAAGACCTTTTTTTCTCAGTTCACTTTTGCTCAAATTTCGAGATGGCGTCGAGTGGTTGGTTACCCGATAGGACTTCAGCTCAGCGTGCGCAAAGAGGTCAATGCACTTTGGGTGATGTTCCCCCCCCCCACACTCCGCCAAATTTAAGTGGGGAATTTTTACTTGCAGGAAATAATGATAAAATGACAACATTACCTCACAACTTGTTTGTTTTTTGGTAGCATTGCGTTTCATCCCATCAATAACGCTCGATTGTAAGCACGCTGTGACAATTGCATTTGATATTGTGTTTTTTTGGGGGAAAAAAACCTGCTTATTGAATTATTTTCAGGGGGCGGGGCGGAACAACAAATGTTACGAATTTGGCTGTAGAGTCTGCAGTTAAAAAAAGGATAATGTCAATAACTGTTTTATTTATAACCCTAACCTTCCCAAATCATCCAAAATCCTCTTTGCAAAATGGAGGATTTTGCGGGATTGAGGCTATTTTGGCAAAATATGTGGCTGATTTTGGAAGATGCACTGTGTCAAGGTCTTGGGCCGGACCTTGTGTTGTTTATGCTCGGCCATGCATAAATTTAGGCCTGTAATATATACTTGAAATCCTCCATACTTCGCCAGGATGTCACAGGCTCTGCCTTGACATGGCGACAGTGATTGCTAGAGGATTTTGCAGGATTGAGGCAGTGGTCACCCCTCCAAGGACCACATTAAGAAATAACGGAGGAGTTTGCAGGATTGACAATGTATGCAATTTTTACATGAAGGCAATTGGAGGATTTTCCAGATTGGTTAGTGGAGCTTTTTACAAACTGGCCTGGCTTTAAAGTTTAATGTTGATGTGAACTGAGATGGCGTTTTTACCTTTAGCCAAAATCCAAATTTCTCATATGTCTCAGAAATCGTGCAGTTTTGAGAAAACTGTCAATTTGCGGGACGTGAGGTTCCTAAAGTAACGGAAATCTTTTTTTTCCCCTTAACCTCGAGATGACATAATGCTTGAAGTTGTTTAGGACGATGATGATGATGTGAAGAGGGAAGTTGGGATGCTCTATAAGAAGGTGTTAGTGAATTGATCAGGCATGGACGGTACGATGCGCACAGACGTGCTATATAGTGCCGAGTGCGCGCCCTTGGCCTTTTGTGCACATGCCCCGGCATATATGCACACAGATGATCACGAATGTGTTGTCTTGGTCAGGACCTTTTCTATAAGACCTCACATAATGCACACACAACGGGATATCAGATTTGAGTTAATAAATTAAGAAATGAATAACTGAATGAAGAAAAAACTCTCAATGCTTTGCCATCAACGTGGCAAACATTGGGTAGTGTTGACTCAGTGATGACACCATTAATTCCTTCCGTAGATTTTGTAGAGTGGGCTTTTAACATACACAGTCTATATTGTGGCTCATCGTCTCCGGCAGACGGCATTAAGTTAACTCGCTGCGGGCAAAGATTCAATGTAAATGAGGAAAAAATGCAAAACAAATTCGAGAGGAGAATTGGATCTTGAATGAAAGGTATGCTTAATGGTCTCTGTGAGGCTCAACCGCTTGACCCCGCAAAGCCACATTATTTTTAAACTTTACCTTTAACGGCCAAACTGTTTTAGGATGTTGCTTGAGATGATTTCCCAGCTTTTTTTTACCTCAGCTCATAACCTCTGTAAGCAGATTTTTTTATTCATCACAACAGTATACTCTCTGTCATTGACGTATTAACCTACTGCATTAAATAAAATTCCAGTAAACATGTGGGTATGCCTCATGCCTTTGAAATCTAGATTGAGAAATTGAGCGACAATCATTCCTCGCAGTTTTGAAAGAGAGCATAAGTCATACGTTATCACGATTGTGACAACCCGGAGTGTTCCAATAATAGTTCTCGTCTCTCGTGGGTCTTGAGAGCTAAAACAAAATCAGGTGATATCTTGGCAACACTCTAGGTGATTGCATCGGTGCTGGGTAACCGTGGCGACACATCGTCGACAATCGGTCCCGATCACTCCACGGAGAGACCAAGAACGATGTTGCTCGGCAAACATCGTAGGAGGACCATGTTTTTGATTCCTAATAAATCTTCATCTTGGGATAAGATGCATAACACAAGATGATATCAATGATTGTTAACAACATCTCATGTGGCTGTGCAATGTGCAGTCATTGTCGATTCTGTTACGATGAGTGGCTTTACATCACGGTAATCATGCATAGGCCTACCGTCCTTTTTCTGTCCATATGAGTTTTTCAGCGTCCTTGTTAGTGAGTGATGGATTAGCTGTCAGTATCTCAAGAGTAGCTAATGATTATGTGCCGAGGATAAATAGTGGCTATGTTTAAGAAGATGCAGTCTGACAACCCTAATCAACACATACAGCGGTGTCCATATTTGTTTATGTTTTTGGGTCCCAGAAATGTCTGACTGTGAAGGAGTTGAACCTGTCCGATAGCAGAAAAAAAAAGAAAAAAAATAAGCATGATAAAACTAAAAAGTATTTATGTACCCTCCCAAATCTGTTTGAGTATACTGCTAGCTTGCTACTGCTAAAATTAGCAAGCCGCAAATATTATACATGATGTTACGTTGTGGCCGATAATTGTTCACACTTTTCTTGCAGCCCTAGGCAATTTTCTCTGCTCGGAATTTTTTTGTGCTTGGAAGAGATCTGTCACTTAGTGTGAATTATACAGTCATTCCATACAGTAGATGTACCTTACCACCCCCCCCGACACCCCCCCCCCCCCCGGACACCCCCTCCCCCCTCCCCGACCCCCCCCCCTGAATTATACAGTCATTCCATACAGTAGATGTACCTTACCTCCCTCCCCCGACACCCCCCCCCCCCCTAGAGCAGCCTTCAGGAGACGCAATCATTACATCTTTTCCTTCTTCCTTCGCTGACTTCAATTCTTTAAACATCGATGCACATCAAAATGTCATTGCCATCACAACAGCGGTAGGATGGAGCAACACTTTTATCCACCAGGGCATGTTTTGTTTAAACCGGGGGGGGGGGGGGGGGGGGGGGGGGTAATTTTGCATGGTGCAACGGCCTAGTCTATTTCTGACGTAGACCCTGCATGTAGCTTTTTTGCAGTTCGTTGTGCATATTGGGGCTTGACTACGCCCGATTGACGGATTTTGTGTGCAACAAAGAACTTCAGAGTACAAGTAATTATTTTATCTGAGAAACCGGATCTGTATTTTCTGATCACAGAAGTAAACAGTTTACTAACTTATAACTGTTAAATTCTTCTTTGCGAATATTTTACTTTATCCTCTTCCCTTTCGGTTATATTTTAACCCCACTTTTAAGTTTTGAAGTATTTTCTGATCACAGAAGTAAACAGTTTACTAACTTATAACTGTTAAATTCTTCTTTGCGAATATTTTACTTTATCCTCTTCCCTTTCGGTTATATTTTAACCACACTTTTAAGTTTTGAAGAAGAAAAAAATGTTCAACAAAATCCACAAGCAAGTTTTGGCATTCTGGTTGAACACAATTTTAAAACAAATTTTTAAGAAATGACTAGAAAAATATCTGAAACACACATACTGTTTCCCCCTCCTTTTTTTTGCTGGGGGGGGTTCTTGCTGGCCTTTTTTTGTGATTTTTAGATTAAAATGTGTGAACAGAAGTTAAGAGGATTTGAAATCTTGTCAGGATTGCAGCCTCAAGGTTTCGATGACAAAATGTTGGTGTGTGTTCAGCAGGTGTCCCTGTGTTACAGACTTGAGCTGTGTTGCCATGGT